GTAGTGGTACACTTACCTGTGTGAGATTTATCTTGTGAAAGCTGTGAGAAAATATTCTACGTGATGTCCGTTCTTTTTTCTTATGCTTATTTCCTGGGATGGACTATGTTAGGACACTTGCACAAGCATACACGTAGTGAAGCACTCTTATCGGATAAGAGGTGTTCTTGATATTGTTGAGCATAGATGCTCATCCTTGTTTACTTGCCTTCTATGTGAAAATGGCTCTATTGGCACGTGGGTCGTCAGTGCGGTTATGAAGTGTAATGAGGGCACATGATGCCAAGTATTAGGGTTCAGGTATTGAGACTCGTGAGTTGTGATTTTTTCGAGGTTCGGTACCTCGTGGAGTTATTGACTAAAATCTGATGTAAAAGCGGTTGTAGTTGCTGCGTTATTACTTGTCCTTGTCGTATTTGTGATTGCGGATTTAGGTTGTATTCCATTCACTTTTCTGTGTCACTTTTATGGTATTCCGCTGATACTTGTTGTTTCCTTTCTTGTTGAATTTGCTGTATTGTGAGCCATATTGCATAGTCTTTATGTAGATATCATTTTTCTGTTGTTTCCTATACTTATACATATTCAGTTTATTAGACCAGTGGGTGTCTTGACTGTTCCTCGTCACTATTCCATCGAGGTTAGTCTTGATACTTACTGGGCACCGCTGTGGTGTGCTCATTCTACACTTCTGCATATTTTTGTGCAGATCTAGGTATTTGTTCGTTAGTAGCTGTGCGGGTCATTGCTGTGGAGACTCAAGGTAAACCTGCTGCTGCATTCGCAGGCTTCGGAGTCACCTTCAAGTTTTCATTTTGCACTGTTTATTCTTATTTCTGGACAGTTATATTTAGAAGTTTTCTAGCAAATACTCTGTAGAGCTTATTACTTGTACTACCGGTTTTGGAAATTATAAATTTTAAGAGATTTCTATTTCAAATTATTGGATGTTATTTAAATAATGTTGTTATTTCAATTAATGTTAGGCTTACCTAGTCCCTAAGACTAGGTGCCATCACGATACCCAAACAGAGGGAAAATTGGGTCGTGACAATTAAGTTTTCGAAAAATATGAAACTGAAACACGAAAAAATATATGTACAATACTGATGCATATATATTTTCTGGAGTTAAGGTATAAGAAACAAAAGTATTTTATGTAAAACAAATTCAGTTAGGATTAACTCAAGAAGTTATTGTAAAATTTAAAGGACATAATAATTTACCAGATCGTCGTAGTTGATTTATGAATCAGTCATAACCACTTCAAATGTTGGATGATTCTCTTCTTCATCATCACTAGTAGAAGAGTAAGATAGGGCTCGTTTGGTAGAGAGAGAGGCGTCCATAGTTAGGGTTTGTTGGTGAGTATTTTTTAGGTTTTTAGGGATTGAGTATATGAGACTATATATATGGGGCCAACCCAGTCCAAAAAAATATTTCAAACACCTTCCTCAAAAATTTTGAATGCTAATTTTCCCTCTTAAATTTTTTCTTCGTACAATTTTGACAGCTTTGTATCATATCGTTTGAGTGCCAATTAAATAGTGTTTTAACACTAATTCCATCATTTTTCATCCTAAATTTGAATCATAAGTAGCAATTTTGATTATGAAATATAGATATATTTTGCATAGAGAGGTCCCTTTTAATAAACACGATTTTAGTTAGACCACTGAAAAAAAGAATCTTAATTAGACTAATAATTTAACCACTGAAATTATTTACATTCTAATTAGCCTAATGAATCCTCTATTTTAGTTAGCCTAAAGAATTCTGTCAGTGAACAAATAACCTATTACTGGTGCGACTATCTGGTTTAGTTTGAATAGAGTTGTTGTTGAAATTAATGGTGTTAATTGAATTGTATTAATTATTTTGGTTACCAAAATTGTATTGATAAATACAATTTTTGAATCCCCATGTAGATATTGAATCCTATTTATTAACAAAACTAGTCACATACCAACCATTTAACTTCTCAATGAAGCATTTATACCTCTTATTTACTCTTCCTTACTTTTTTGAATTCAAGACTCTTTTAGTCTTTTGAAATGATACAAAAAATATTTTTAAAAAGAGAAAAGAAGATACAGTTATAACAAAAAGAAAACACACAAGAGCTGGATGAAGATAGAAATTTGATATTATTCATAGTTCAATAGAAAATAAAAGTACACATACCATAACTGGATGAAATTAAAAATAAAAGCTAACAAAGGGAAAAAAATAACACAAACATAACATAAAAACTAATTAATTTCAACCGGATCTTCAGGAGTTCCTTGTCCTTTCACTTGCACTTCGAAGACACAAACAATTGTGCAATTTCAATCAACTCAAATTTAGCGACACAACCTCGCTTGATATCATTCCCCACCACAAAAAATTTTCAGCCGTCTTTGAGCCATCTTCGTTCACCAATAGTCATTCCTACAAACCACTCTTTGCCACCATATTGAAGAAGCACGGTGTTATTTATTTCAGGAAGATGCTTGTAGATTCGTTTTGGAATATGCTGCAAACAGAAGAAAAAATCATTAGTAATAACTTTTAACCCTAAAATATATAGCACAAAGACACACTGCCGGAGGCATCAAAAAACTTACTGATGCATATAGTAATCTGAAGTTAAGGCATAAAAAATAATAGTAAGAAACTCATTTAGCCCAAACCTTCCC